AATGGAAGGTTGACATAATGCAATAGTATTGTGGGATAATGTCATAAAGAGTTGACATAATATAATGGAAGGTTGACACAATACAATAGTAGTGTGAGTAAATGTCATAAAGAGTTGACATAATGTAATGTAAGGTTGACACAATGCAATTGTTGTGTTCTGCTATAAGGCAGTGACGGCGTTCCATACAAGCTCATCGGGGTATATTGTATCGACATAAGAATGGAAATCACAATTGTTAATTGACAATACGTCGTTGATATATCTAAATGTCGAGTTGAAGGCCAAAGCATGTGTTTGTGTTCTTCTTCTCAAGCATAAGATATTGCACAAATGAATACAAAATTAGACCTGCCAATAACGGGGCGCAAAATTGGTACCCATGGGGATTCCAATACAGGGCTCTCAATTCTCTATAATTGGGGCCGATATTCGGCCCCATTCCCAACGTGAAAAAGGTACCTTTTTTCCCAAATTTAAGGGTAAAAATTCCCAATTTATGATTGTTTCAAATTCATTACTGTAACAAAAAATCATATCTTTGACAGTCGTAAAAGCATTGTTGAGATATGAAGGAAAGACGTTCGTGTTATGAACTGGTAGTTTGTTTATATGCTGGAACCAGTTTAGAATAAAAACGAAAGTCGTCTGTAGTAAAGTAGGTACGACTTGTTCATTCACAACATGTCGCAGAATGTGAAGATCTATGATGTCAGGGCTCGAAATTAATGGAAAATACTCTTTGAATGAGAATTAAAATAAAAAATTGTGAGTTAAAAGCGACCTTTGTTCGCCACCTTTTGTCAGAAAAAAAGGTCTTGTAAAAAATTCAGATTACCAAGACTGAATGAGAAGCACTAGGCCTACAGGTATTTTATTCACTATTTTGCTATTAGATTCTCTAACAATTAAAAATAAATAGGTACCATGCTCCTACAGTTTATAAATCCCCATAATCTTATCCATTTTGCAGCGCTACCTGTCTTATAATTTACTTCCAAAAACGATCGTTTTTTTTTAAACCGAATTTCCTCTACTCCTTTCTTTATGGTAAATACAATCAGATACAATGTAACGTTAGATATTCCATTAAATTATTTACGATCTCTAAAACAAATTGAGTAAGAAAGTTATGTAATTTTCCAAAAAATATATCCCCAGTGTATTTAATGATTTAATTTTAAATTTATAAAGATGATTTTTTTTTAATTAAACAACTGATTTACTCTGTATCTGTTCAGATTTCATCTGTAAGAAAACGGCTTAAATGCTTCCAAGAGGTTAATTATCATTATTTTTTTTAAATAGATTATTTAAATCTTGTATGAATCACTATAAGGAGAAAAAATGCTAGGAAAAGTTCAAAATTACAATTTGATACTAAAAATAAATCTGCTGATATTTACTACAGTGGTCAAAAAGTTAAGTTTGATCCCTGCAGTACTGTTGTCAGTGTAGAAAAATATTTCAACTAAGAACAAGACAATGATGTAAGTTTAAATTATGACTGGTAAAAATTTCCCAATTTTTATAAAAACGTCGCTTTTTTCCCAATTTCAATGGCCCCGGCCCCAGTACCAAAAATGGGTGTGAGAGCCCTGCAATAGATTTTTGGAAAACCTGATCTCCAAAAACAACATAGATATGGTCAATCAGACACTCAAGCATCGTTTTGATGTCGACTTCAGATTACTAGTGTGTACAATCAGAATTTAACAAAATAATACCGGTATTGCAACTGACCAATGACAAGGTAAGTTTACGAATTCCATTTTTATTGAAGAAGCAGTTGTCCTTTTCCGATCCCAAGTCTTCTGTTTCAAAATGTTCCGTGGAAAACTGTTAAACTTTTGACAATTTGATAGCTATCACTTCTTTCACCAGTAATCTTACTGGACAGAGCTTCTATACCAAAACTTTGGAAAATCTTAACTTTTTCAATCAATCTAGTTATAAATACAAACCAGCAGAGCTAACGAGACTTCTGTTTATATTTTTGAAATAAGTTTTTCATTGGTCATGCACAACTACTATTTTGAAAAATCTCATTTGAAAACTAGATGTATTGCGAGCACTGAGAGCCCGCCTTCCATCAATACTAAATAATTACAAGTAACAGCTTTTTAAAAAGCTTGCCTGACTAAATCAATCAATTTATCTGCATGAAGAGTGATTTAAGGAATCACTGTCTAGTTTTGAGGGTATGCCAGGGCATCGACAATAGTGGGAAACATGGGATAATTTGCATAACGGGCGAAGCCCGTTATGCTAAAATTATCCCATGTTTCCCACTATTGTTGATGTCCCTGGCATACTCTCAAAACTAGACAGTGATTCCTTATATTTCCATTTTTACTTGAAATAACCATCTTAAAATGTTTCCATTTCTAATTTTTTTCTCTGTTATAACTCTTTGAAAGTTAGGGTTAGTTTATTTCTTGATAATTCTGCCGGAATGTAAATTAGGCAGGTCGATAGGTCGGGAGCTAAGGAGGCCTAATACGCATGCAATTCTCGTGCGCATCTGTCTCTGTGTCTGACGCTAAGGAAGCCATATATGCATGTAAATCTCGTGCGGCTGCCTTTGTGTTTGACGTCGGTTGGCGAGGACTATTGAAATTGGTATGGAAGTCATCATGTGATTTAAATCTATTTATCTATATTTTTAAAGTCTAAATCTACAATTTTATTTCACAATGAAGTGGAAATATAAGGAATCACTGTCTAGTTTGGAGGGTATGTCAGGGCCATCAACAATAGTGGGAAACATGGGATAATTTAAGCATAACGCGCTTCGCCCGTTATGCAAATTATCCCATGTTTCCTACTATTGTTGATGCCCTGACATACCCTCCTAACTAGACAGTGATTCCTTAAATAAATCAAAATACCGTCTAATTGAGTAGATTTGAAATGCACAAGGCCCCATGACGTCAAATTTTACTATAAAAAAAATAGTCCCAAAAAACACGAAACAAATTTATTGATTATTTAGTTAACGTAGTCAAATATCAACATTTATAAAATAAACAACAAAAGAATTTTAAATTATGATCAAAGTAATCTTGTTAACTTTAATTATATATGTGACTAGATTTAGGTTGTCGGAAGCACGAACATATATAGGCACTATGTCACTTCTCCGCCGCCATATTGAATGCTATGTTGCAGTTGATGAAATGGGAGTTGATCAGCATGGTCAGATTTGTATGGATGTTAAAAATAACAGAAGAAGTTGAGTTGCGTAAGAAGTTGGGTGGTACTGACTAAGGGACGATGTCTGTATCAGATGATGGAGTACGTGCAGATCCATGTGGCAATGTCAATTTCTCCACGTGGCTGTTTACCAGGAAGTGGAGTTCTCGGTCTCGCGAGGCCTCGGTGATAGTGGACAGCGTTGCGCTAGTGACTTGCTTTCGAGCCGAAGATAATTCATTATTTATTTTGTTTGTTAAAAAGATATATCATATCAAATTACTTAGTAAACAATTAAACAAAACATCTATTTTTTCTTTAGCATATTTATACGCCAGTGATATACATGCAGGTTGACACCTGACCTTTCAGTAATAGAGAAATATACATACCACAGGGTATTACCATGAAATTAACAAGATTCACTTTTGTAGTGTTTATCATAGAGAAAACAATTGGAAATGGAAATATAACCCTTTTGAGCAATACTTTGTGGGTTTAAAAAATATCCTAACTTTATATTTTGAGAACCTTATATAACTGAAATCTTGATTTTACTGAACTTGTAGAAGAATCATCTCTACACTGCATACTAAAGAACTTTGTAGTTGAAGGGGGGGGGTGGGGGGGGGGTCTGCAAGTGGAGTGATCTGCCCTTGGATCTAAATTGATTTCAAGCTACATTGTAACACCTATTATAAAATCTGTTATCAAATCACGCATTGTGAACATTTTAAAAGATGTATATAATTAAAAACACATTTTGTTGGAGTGTATTTTCTCCTCTGAAGTAAACAGTAGTAATGTGTGTTCATTATTTTTTTTCTTAAAAGGGAAGGGTGATGACACTATCATATAATACATGATATATTGAGTATGAAATAAGTAAATTCAATAGTTAGGCTTTGTAGAAAGAAATATCCAAGATTATTCACTACTTTTTTATTTATCGTATGCATCTGAACAAAGACATATAATAGATCATGCTTCTGGAGACGATGGCTTGAACTGCGTTGTTTATTATTATTGGCCTCGTCCATTTATGGAATAAACCAACCGCGGGATCGGTAAACAAATTAGAAACATCATTTCTTTAGCGTTACATGTTCATATACCATGTACACTGATGTATACGATATGTTGTTTTAAAAAATTGTATAAAACTTGTAGATAGAATTTCTGGTTAAAAGGACAAACTTTATTTAATTCCATGGAAGTTAGCACACCCATTCATACAATAGAACAATCCAAGGAACAGGCGCTAAGATAGCTTACTAGTGACATTTGGCGCGGAAAGAGCGATTCACCCCTTTCGTAGAATATAAATGGACTGATCCAGTAGTATAGAAATGCAGAAAAAAGGATACACGGACATGTTGAAACGGCAAATCATATGGAATAATCTGTTCCATGCAAAAAGATTAAAGGAAGTAAACACTGCAGTATTTCGCATCAGTAATATCTTTCTTTTTTCTGAAGACTGTTTCTTTTAAAATGCAGGTAAAGAATTCCAATGTAAATCAGCTTGCACAAAATCTAGCTCTTTAGATATGGTCGCATATTTTCGGATCTTGGAAATATCAATCCTTATACTGTCTGACGCCGTGACGTCAGGCAATAAAATTCTCATGATAAAATAGATTAATGATGACACATGTATCAGTTTATCTCACGTTTAATTAGTTAACGTATATCTAATAAGTATACAGCTTGATATATTATAATTCTACTGTCAAAGGAACACTTTAAAATGTTATGCTTAATATGAAAATGTACAAAAATTTTCAGCGTAATTGCATTGAATTATTGGTTATCTATTTTCAACGATAAAAGATACTGGAGTGACAGGTGTTCGAAATGTTTTGTCCTTGTAGATTATTTTACTGCATTCCTTTGGTAATATCAGGCGGAAATTGCGCAACAGCTAAAACATAAAGGTTTTACATTATTACTAATTTAAGCTAGTATTCTAGAGAAAATTCCTTATTTGTTATCACATTTTTCTCTGCTTCAGTTATCATTTTACTAATTTAGTGAGTGTTTTCACCATGAAAGTCAAATTCATGTACATTTTTATTGATCGGAGAGAAAATACCATCCAACATTAATTTAAAATAACTTGTCATTGCGTTGACCCTAAGATCCATGCAGAAAATACCTGTGAAAAATCAGTGTTACGTGCTATGTATACCCGTAATATAAAATATTCGGGGTTTCTTTGGTAAAATCATATAACAAGGACGGTTTTATCACTGTCTTTCAATCAATTAAATACCATAAAAAGTATGTTGCAACAGAAATGTTCGATGATAAATTTAATTTCAATCATTAAATTTTCATTCCTTTATAAGTTATCAAAATTTATTTCGAACATAATTATGTTCCGTTATTGCAGTATTGATCACAGGCAGGATAAGAATCGTATTCGAACCCATGGACTGAATTTGCTCCATTAAGAATCGGTTAAAGATCAGGGAGTATTATTCAACCAGACCTAATACATTGGCCAAGACATCGATATGCCGAATACTCGTATGTTGAAATTATACTTGAAGATGGGACAGAAATTATAATTAATGTTATTGATTTTTTTTTCTGACAAATTTAGCAGTCGTTTTTAAAGTTATATCTTAAGCGTATTTCTGGTTGTGTTACACAGAATATTTGATAAAAAGAGAGATGTAATAATAAAATTACTTTTGCAGTGCAGATATAAATCTCAGTCTCGGCAAAAGTCTGTCCAATACACTTCCGTGGTCCGTAACCAAATGGAATATGAGCAAATGAATGTGTTGGAGAATATCCGTCACTATTGCGTAACCATCTTTCCGGAATGAAAGCTTCAGGCTTATCAAAGTATTGCCTATCCTGACAGGTGATTCCAGAGCAAAACACAATGTTAGTCTGGAAGAAATGGAGAGCGGAGTTTTGCATATTTGAAAACCCAAATTGCTTTACAAATATTTTATATCAATTTAATAATGCCGAAAACTTTTCCTTAAATCTTCTTCCGTTTGCATGTTGTACTGCTTCCCACTTCATTCTCACAACGGAGTGAAAATGTTAAAGCAAAATAATTGATATTTGAAAACTTTTTCAAACGATTTGAAAACGCTCATAATCCGTATCAAGAGGATATGCAAATAAGAAGCGGTATCATAATTAGAGTCCCAAGTGAAGTAATAAATCACAGGTATTATACATTTATAATAGTGAGATCACTAATTTTCGTGGGGGTTTAATTTTCGTGGTTTTCAAGGTATTCATGAAGAGTCCCACGAATTTATGTCCACCACAAAATTTTTCAGATATATTACTACTGAACAATTCTTCAACCAAGAAATCAGATCCCCATACACCAATATATTTTCCTCAAACCATGAAAATTTGACCCCTCGAAAGTATGTGATATTACAGTATAATGAGTATATACGTTTGCGAATTTTTTCTGCTAGTAGTCTGCTAGACTCAATTTGATACAAGGGGTATTTCGATAATGTTAGCCTTTTTTTTCCGGAAATTAAATAAAATGATTTTCTGTTATGATAGTCAGCAAGCGTTCATAATTTTTGATGATGCAATGTAGCCACTGGGAAACTTTTATATAAGAAAAAAATTATTATAATATGCTATCATATTTATTTGGTATCATACTCTCGGTTAAATTAAATTAAAAGAGATATGTCTATACATAAAATAAAATTTGTACCCTAAACATTTTATCAAATAAAAGTCAATGTTCAAAAATACATGTATGTATTTGGTCAATTTATATGTATGTGGTAATTCAGGAAAACTTACGAAAGCAGGTATTCGGAAGCCTTTTATTGTAATATCCTTATCCAAGTTTCTCGCTGTACCAACCGGAACAGGAAATACCAGTCTACAAAAAAAAAAGAGTTTCAATGTTTAACGTGAATAGAGCTCGCGTTTTGGATAATAAACAGACACTATCTTCAGGGATATTATTAGTTTCCCCCGCTTTTGCAAATGCTCGGGGAGGGATGTTTTAAATTTCCTTCGGCAGCCTGTCCGTTGTAAGAACTTTCACGTTGGTTCAAACTTTTGAATTAGTATTTTATATTTTAATCATAATTTAACCCGTGCATTATCCCTGAAAAGAATTGAATATGATTTTTGTACCTTATCATTTGTCTTACTTTTGTAATTGATTCCTTTATTAAAAATCTCAAAGTAAAAAATATTACTAAAAACGAATAACTTATTGGTTACAATTTATGATGTATAAATCTTGAATACTTTGCATCTTTGAAGTAATTTTACCTGAGCGACTCTTTTAAGCATGCTTTAAGGTAATTCAGTTGGCAAAGAACGGTTCCATCGATAGGACCTGCCTTTGAAACATGTCTTTCCAGCTCTTCAAACAGTTTGTCTTGCTTCTCTGGGTTGTTTGCCAAATTGTAAAGCAAAATTGTCATGTTTGCTGCTGTCTGAAATGAAATATGAAGATAACGAACAAAAATCAAGTTCAGAAGTCAGAGACAACAATAAAGAATTGGGAGCAGAGCGAACATGGTCCTCTACAAACATCAGAGGTAGGATCAGGTGTCATTGAGGAGTAGGCAACCCCTCTCGACTGGTCACAACCGCCGTGTGCTTCTTGTAATGATCAGAAAATAACGAAAAAGTCAGTAGACGTAAAGTCTAATAAATTGTTTAAAACGTATTGTAAAATACAAATTGTATTTAATATATAAACGACTGCTTGCCGAATCAATACCACCAACAAAAACATCCATCAACGTTTTGGTAATATCCTCAGTCGTCATATTTGGATCGGGTAACAAGTCGCTAAGAAGACTTGGATCAATTTCTTCTGTATTCTCAGACTGAATACGTTCCTTGTGCTCTGTTATGTATTTCTGTGTCTGTCTAATTAGAAGAACAAAAACTGATACTGGAACTAAAATGTCTATATTTTAAAGTAACCGAAGAAGTATTATGTCATAAGATAATTCTCGTAATAAGTAATTATTTTCTTTGGGTAATCAATTCGTATTACCTTTTAAGATAGTTTGCAGAATTCGCATACTTCCGATAAAACGGCGTTTTGAACAGTTTATACCATGGCATTATGTAAAACTGGTTCCCAAAACAGTCCAGAAACATTTCTACGTGCTGCATTGTTTCTGTCTTGATCGTTTGATCTGGTGATGAAATACATCCGAGACGCACTCCAAAACACATTTTCCCAACTCCTTTAATAATTGAAAATATGCTGAAATTATATATTTTCTTCTTACCAATTATTATTAAATAAATTTGGATTTTGTGTGTGTTTTCAACATAAGTATCAAGATCAGAGCACAGCATGTTTTCAATGTTTGAGGTTTAAGCTTTTTCAGTCATATAAGTCCTAGTGATCTAGGGACAAGATTTTTCGAATAAAATGGTGCATATTATGTCATTTATTCATTTTTAATTCAGGCCAAACTCCTGTCAAATAAGTTAACTCTACCTTCTGTTGAGAATTCCATTAAATGATGTATCACGTTATCAATACGATCTTTGTGACGGAATTTATCGACAAAATCATCGGCTATTGCACTTATGGCGGGTAAATATTTATGGACGGATTTCCGTCTCAAAATAGCTCTCTGTGCAGTTTTCCTCAGAGCCAACCACTCTTCGTTATTTCTAAGAAACAAATTAAATTGATCACCAGAACAAACAAAAAAGAAACAAAGAGCGAGAAAAAAACAATAAATACAGCTATCAAACAAAACTTAAAACGTAATGGAGGGGTATTATCAATAAAAATAAAAGTTTTGATTGTAAGTAGTTTATTGTTGAACAAGATGTGATTGTGAAAAACTATTCGCCTGGCGGCAACTAAGTTCCAAAAAAGCTATTTTTAGCATATAGGCCAAGGTCACAAGGTCATTGACCTTGGAATAATTTGATAGAACTTGATTAGTGGAGTATGCATACCAAATATGAAGTTTCAATCTTTCATGGATCAAAAGTTATGGTTAAGGTAAAAAATATCTAGTTTGAGCATAAAAGTCACAGTCAAGGTCTCAAGGTCATTGACCTTGGTGTCATTTGAAAGAACTTAATTAGTGGAGTATGCATACCAATTATGAAGTCTTTATCTCCTATGGTTCAAAAGTTACAGCGAAAGATCAATTAAGCAATTTTCAGCATAAAAGTCACAGTCAAGGTCCCAAGGTCATTAGTTAATTAATTAGTAGCACATGCATACAAAATATGAAGTCTCTATCTTTCATGGTTCAAAAGTTACGGCGAAGGGTAAAGTTTGCCTAAGAAAACTATTTTTAGCATCGCAGTCAAGGTCACAAGGTCATTGACCTTGGTGTCATTTGAAAGAGCTTAATTAATGAAGTAAGCATACCAAATATGAAGTCTCTATCTTCCATGGTTCAAAAGTTATGGTGAATGTTAAAGTTCGAGACAAACAAACAAACAAACAGACAGACAGACAGGACAAAAACTATATACGCCCCGGATCTATCGATCCAGGCGCATAAAAAGCAACACTCTTTGTGACAAAAAAATTATAAATACATGGCAAAAAATATCAATATTAGTTTGTAGTACTAAACAATGGTGGCATATTTCTGCCCCCTGTTGAGGAATTGCATTTTTATGCGCCGTTATCGATAGATCCGGGACGTATATTGTTTTTATCTTGTCTGTCTGTTTGTTTGTTTGTCTGCAAACTTAAACCTTCGCCATAACTTTTGAACCATGAAAGATAGAGACTTAATACTTAGTTTGCATACTCCACTAATGAAGCTCTTCCAAATGACACCAATGTCAACTAGAGGTACTGTGAGCGATGAGCTCACTAAATGATACCCCCCGCCTCACATATGGTTATAACTGGTGAAAAAGTCCATGTTTTCCTGTGGCCGGGAAACCCAAAATATGTGTCGGATCAAAAAGTAAAATAGGAGGTGCACAATGGCAATATGTAATAAAGATTCTGTGAAAGTTGCATCAGATTTCATTCAGTGGTATGAGAGGAGTTGCGGATAAGAGATGGATACCCCAAAGCGTAACAGACGGACGGACGGACAGACGGACGGAATTAACGATTACTATATACCCTCCCGCTTTTCAAGCGGGGGTATAATGACCTTTTGACCTTGACTGTGACCTATATGCAAAAAGTAGTTTTTTCTGCAAACTTTTATCTTCACCATAATTTTTTGAACCATGAAAGATATAAACTTCATATTTGGTACGCATACTTCACGAATCAAGTTCTTTCAAATGACATCAAGGTCGATGATTTGATGACCTTGTCTGTGACCTGTAGGCTAAAAATAGTTTTTCGCACTTTTGGCATACCTTTTGAACCATAGACGATAGAGACTTCATATTTGGTGTACATACTCCACTAATCAAGTTCTTTCAAATGACACCAAGGTCTGTGACCTTTTGACCTTGACTGTCACCTATATGCTAAAAATAGCTTTTTCGAATTTTGTTGCCGCCGGGCGCATAGTGTTTCACAAACACATCTTGTTTAAAAAGATTTTAAAAATAGTTGAAAGAAGAACGGGACAAGAGCATCTATAACGATTGATATTAAAACTCTCTTACAATGCTGTCAGTCCAGGTTTTGTTCGAGTTCTTTGCGTGTACACTTTGGTTAGTGGCAATATTCCACGATACGGGTACTTTCTATCATTTCGGAACACCTTTTCAACGTCCCGAGGATCAGTAAGAAAAACGTACCAGTCATTTCCTAGTTTTTGTTTACAAACTGGTCCATATGTTTTTGTCCAACTTAAAACTCTTTGCTGCATATTGTCTTTGGCGTAATTTGCTGAAAAAATTCATGAATAAGATTATTTGAAATATAAACATGTATGAGAAAATAATATGATATTTTTCGAAATGAATGTAGACGAAGAAATGGAAATTATGAGTAAAGGTGGGTTTTTTTCTCTTTGTATCAAAACAGGCAAATTTAAAGAATAGTAGTTCCACGCTTTCGGTATCTTAGTAGATGGGATGCCACTATTTATGGTATCTTGTGTCAAATATGAATGCCCTATCACATTTCTGTCAAAATTTATCACTAAAGTTAAAAATTTTGTAAATTAGGTCAAACATTAAATTCAAAGTCAATGGGGTCAAAAATCATAGCATACTCGGAAACAACTTGATACAGGTAATGTACATTTTAAATATGAAAGCCCAATTCCTTCTTCATCAAAGGTTGTATATAAGGAAAGATCATAACATTTTTGAAAAGTAGGTCAAACTTCAAGGTCAAGGTCATACGGTAAAAATTCCATAGTATATTTAGAAAGGTCATAATTATTTGACACAAAATACCATAAAATAATGGCATCTCATCCACAAAGATACCGAAAGCGGGGTACCAAAATTCTTTGAATGTGCTTGCTCACCAAAAGACTTACTGAATGGTCTCATTTGCAAAATTAGCCCCAAATATGGCAGCTGGTATATACCAGAAGGGCCAGGGATTTCTTCGAATGGTCTGATACTGGTTTTTGATAGTAACTCTTCATTTTGTAAACCCTGAATTCCAGCAACAGTTGATTCAGAGTAAGTCGGTGTAGTCTTAAAAAGGTGATGATCAGTCAGTCGGAGCATGCATCTGTTTTCATAGAAATTCACATTTTATCATCAATTCTTTAGGAGAAAAAGCTTTTTGAGCACGTATATAGCTGCTCTTAATATGTTTCGAGTACTATATGCAGCAAGAATAGGAGCATGTACATATTTTTGCCTACAACATCTTGAAAGCACCTTACGAGGGCTTGGTGGTTGTGGCCATTATTTTACTAATATTGATCTCCTTTAGAAGAAGAGTTCCATGTAAAAATGTACAAAAATGATCGAATTTTAAAACCAACGTGTATGAAATTTTTTCTTTGCCAATTGTTAGTTGACAACATAAGACATCATATCTTAAAAATTAGTTATATCTGATGGTTAATTTGTTGAACACCCCCCCCCCCCACCCGACAGCCTCCTTAAGCTTTGTTGCATTTTGTCCGTGGAATTATAGCAAAATTGTGCTGTAATTTCTTTGCTTTATCAAATGAATTCCATCTACTGATACACTTGTAATTAATGAGAAAAAGGTTGTAACAGTAAATATACAATCATCATTTGCATTCATATGAAAATCATTATAAAATCATAAGAAAATTAATACATTTGAAGAACAAATTGTAACAACACAGATAATTAAATATAATCCTCTTTCTCGTGTTCGCAAGAGAATGTTAAGAATCAGTCTGAAAGTAAGGAAACTAGTACAAGAACTATTCATTTACTTGTCTTACTATTGTATATTATGCATTATACAAAGAATGCATATAAGGGTTGATTAAATCAGAAAATCATAGAAATAGATATAAAGAACAAAATGGAATGGTACAAATATCGGTATATTCAAAGAACGTAGATATCAATAATTATTAACCTACCTGCCCCTCAACTTCATCATTCCTCCGACGCAAATCTTTAATTTTCATTTGTGAATGCAATGTTACCTTGACCCGTTTTATTGAAATCCAGACTTATCTACATTGGTCCTTTTATAACTAATCAAGGCCTGTGTACACGATTTAGAATTGTTGATTAATTTATTTTCTCCAAAACAACTGTAGAAAAAAAAAGACAGAATTTAAATGAAATATTTGCACAAGTATGGAATATGCATTAAGCAAGACTTCTAGAAGAGTAAAATATAGACTCTAATTCTACATACTCTAAGAAGCACTTTGTCATACTAAAATATACAAAAATAAATGATTAGATATCTAGTATTTCCATTTAAAAAATCAAAATGGAGAAATAAATTTCTGCAATTTTTTTTTATTAGATTAAGGTAGACTAATCTTCAGGTTCTAAAAATCTGGTGTTCAATAAATGTGATCTTTCCAGACATTTGATGAAAAGTTTACGACTTTTATACTTATATTGTAATTTAGTTTCTTCTACTTAGTTCAAATATTTTATAATGCATGTATAAAGCGTTTCCTATCATTGTAAAATTCTATATATCACTTTTAATTTTATATGATGCTAAGGTATCTAAGGGTAGATTTAATATATTTCGTAAAAGCCAAGTTTGACTCAACACATTTTGTTTAAAAAAAACAGAAAATGTAAATTTACTATCAACGTTTTCGTTATAAGCATATTTTACTGTACTTGTCGGAGGGAAGAAGGTGGAAATGGTTATTGAATTTAAAACAGTTTTCTTGAAAGAGTTGCACATTTGGACACATTAAAAGGTCAGAAAAATACATGCATGTATCTTCAATGAAATCGCCTATGCTAAGATCGATGTCCTGCAATTTCAAAGAATTTATTTTCAGATCGGGGGGACACCTCTTCCTATACCGAAAGACGTAGGAATGCCCTGTTATGTGACAGGGTTTTAGAGGTGAAATACTAGAGCTAAACATCAAAAGTCAGGCGTAGGATGGGTTTAAGTGATCTCAGATAAGTAATATCGTTTGGGAGAGGCCTTGTTTCCAAATTAGTTTCCTCTAATTTTAGACAGATCGACCTTGGAAATTTATCGCTGAATGATAAAAGTACAATGTACAGTCACACTCAATTTGCTTGTCATGAATTAAACAGTAAATTAAATTACATTTATAATTTTTAATTGATTTTTGTGTTTCATGTAATTGCTATGCTGTTTGTTACTAAAATTATTTGCTGGTTTGTTCGTGAGGCCTCTTGGACTGAACCAACCGGTCAGTCTAATTCAACAAATCTTGCCACAAATCCTTGCAAAATGGAATAGTCGAATACATAAGAAAAAAAAATTAACTTTAGTGTCAAAGTAAATTTGAAAGCCCCTCCATTGCCAATATTATGTAAGATCTTTACACACCATACATTTATTGCCTGACGTCACGGCGTCAGGATGTATAAGGATTAATATTTGCATGATCCGAAGCTGTGCGATCATACTTAGAGAGCTAGATTTTGTGCAAGCTGATTTACATTGGAATTCTTTTAAAATTAACGTTAGTGTCAAGGTAAATTTGAAAGCCCTCCATTGCCAAAATTATGTAAGATCTTTACACACCATACCTTTATTGCCTGACGTCACGCCGTCAGGCTGTATAAGGATTAATATTTGCATGATCATACTTAGAGAGCTAGATTTTGTGCAAGCTGATTTACATTGGAATTCTTAACCTGCATTTTAAAAGAAACAGTTTTCAGAAAAAAAGAATATTACTGATGCAAAATACTACAGTGTTTACTTCATTTACTCCTTTGCATGGAACAGATTATTCAATGAGATTCATCGTTTCAACATGTCCGTGTATCCTTTTTTCTGCATTTCTACACTACTGGATTAGTCCATTTATATTCTACGAAAGGGGTGAATCGCTCTTTTCGCGCCAAATGTCACTAGATAGCAATCTTCGCGCCTTTTCCTTGGATCGTTCTATAGTATAAATGATTGTGCTAACTTCCGTATGGAATTGAATAAAGTGTGTCCTTTTAACCTCCTTCTAATGCTTCAGAAATTCTATCTACAAGTTATTCTTTTAAACAACAGATCGTATATATCAGTATATGGACATGAAACACTAAAGAAATGATTTTTCCAATTTGTTTCCCGATCCCGCGGTTGGTTTATTCCATATGTGGACTTAACAACGCAGTTCAACAAGGCATGGTCTCTAGATGCATGATCTAATACATGTCTCTGTTCAAATGCAAACAATAAATAAGAAACCAGTGCAAAATCTTGGATTTTTCTTTACATAAAGGCATAAATATTGAATTTACTTTTTTCATTCTCAATATATAATAGTGGCACTACCACCCCCCTCCCCTTCAAGAAAATAAAAACAACCCATAAATGAACACATTTTACTATACTGTTTACTTCAGTGGAGAAAATACACCGTCTGCAACAAAATGTGTATTTAATTCACAGGCACCTGGCCTTACTTATTTTTCTTTAAAAAAAATATACCTTTACTTTATAATAAACCAGGTCCCCATCGGTTTATTATAAGGTAAGGGTATTTTTTTATTAAAAGAAAATAAGTAACATCAGGTGCCTGTGTGTAGAGATGATTCCTTTACAAGTTAAATAAAGTTAAATATAATCAGGGATTTATTTCAACAAGGTTCTCAAAATATTAAGTAAGGACATATATTAAACCCACAGAAGTATTGCTCAAAAGGTTTATCACTCCTCATTCAGATAATGGTTGATTTAGTCAGGCAAGCTTTTTGAAAAGCTAATACTTGTATTTATCAAGACTTCATATACTTGTACCGTATAGTTTACTACAATCGAGTAATATTGTATTGTGCATTTTAATATGCCTACTGGATCTTGATGAAGATTTTTTTTTATTGAGCCCCCCCCCCCCCGATTTGCATCTTCTTCAGAATTATCTCCCCTCGAAATTAAACTTTAAATTTTCTCATTCCTAAATTAATGTGTCATATAAAAATATTTGATTGAAATGGGTCGAGAGCTTCTTCATAAGATATAGGAGGAAAGATTTACAGATCAATCATTTTAATTTACAACAGACATTTTTTTTTTGAAAAGTTCATATGAAACTACAGTATATAAGTATTCAACATGAAAAAGAGCCAGTATTCATTATCAACAGGAAATAAGTTGTTTCAATTTTCCATACCAACTCTTAAAATAAGTAAGTTAACTTAAAATGGTTTCCTTCCTTTTTGAAACATGTTTATCTAGATAGAAGAGGGAAAATGACAGATAAACAGAATTTGATACAGATATTTACTAAATGTAGACATTCTTAGGGAAGTACATACATGTACTGGGGAAGTGGTGCAATTAAAATAACATAACCACTGTACATGTATTTATGTCCTGAGCCATGCCCAGTCTCGTTTTACCACGAACTACTTTTTAACAACAAAGACTTCAATTTTCTGTCACATTGCTAGCTGCTTATAACCCATACTAATTCCCAAGTACTTGACATCTGATTTACTTTATTAAAAGTAGCTGTGCTATTCTCGCTCGATCGTTTTAAATCTGCATGTTTTATTGGATCTACCAGTAATCAGTCTGTTAATTAATAACCCCTCGCAATTAATAACCCTGTGTGTGTCCTTGTGCTAACCGAAAGTGACGTAATTTGCATCGGCCTCGATGAAGAATGCTTTCTTGATTGATGGAAATGCTCTTTGCAAGGAGATGCTCCGCTTTGCTGTGCTCTTGGTCAACTTTGTTTTCTTTGACACGAACGCAGAAAGTAGAAAAGCTGAAGACAATTGTATACTGTTTTATCTCAGAAGATTGAGATTTTAAAGACTTTTGTACATTTTCCCTGTTATACCAGTACTAGCTATGGGTTACAAGTTAACCCTGGCAAACGGTTAGTAATAGGCCAAACTGAAAAATATTCAATATTTTTTTTTCTTTAATGCAGAACAGAAAAGTTTTCTATGCAAAACACAACATGACACAAATGCAATGCATCATGTTCTTAATCTAAAACAAAACAAACTATGTAACTTTCCTATTCATCACTCAAATAGAAATGGAAGCAAAGGAGTTTAAAAATATCTTATGTAAATCTGTATAAAATGCTTAAAATATATTATAATTAAAATATTGTATATTTCTGCAGCTGATAACGAAGCAAAGCAATAAACACTTTTCACATGTACCTGATAAGTGGATAATAATTTTTAACTTCTAATATATTTTTAATTTGGAATCAATGAGTCCATTATTAAACATACTTCTAGCATGTTATGAAATTAAACACACAATATGAAACACACTCACACCAAAAATAAGGTACATGGATATAAATTGCAGTAGCTTTAATTATAACTTTCTTTTACTTCAGATCTATTATCAATGAATTCTAAGCTCTGTTTACCAAGTTATACATGTTAAAAAAAACAAAGAGCAGATTAGAATCCTTGGCTAGCAAAGATGATGATGTATGTGCATTAATATCAATTAGGGCTTTAAATAAATTAATCTAAAGGCTCAACATATTTTTAGCTTTACATTTTTAGAAGCAACATTTATTTGTTACACATGTACATAGTGAGTTTTGCAGACAAAAATTTGCTTATAAATAAGTTACCAAATTCGGATTACTTTTGCAATAAGAGAGCAATTTATTACATGATTGTAGCAAGTTGACAAGTAATAATAAAATCTCTGCTTGCAAAACTCAGTAGATAATTTAGGCCTAAAAGCATAAAACTTGAATCTAAATTTTTGGCTGTTAAATTTGAATTGATAATAAACACAAAGCAAACTGTCCAACAAGTGCAATACTGAATTCTCAAAAAAGTTGTCAAATGTTGTACATTTTCTTTCAAGAAATTTATACATTGTTTTATCATATTCAAAATCTCATTTATGCAGTATACAAGTGCTGAAAAATATGTCAATATTCTTGCACCAAATATCTGTTTTACTGTTTAAAATCAAGGAAACATAAAAAAGAAACCCACACAATTACATATCACATAATTTCATCTTCTAAAACTGCAATTCAAGCATAACAGGTTTTTTTTTAATTTCCATAGGAATAACAATTTTATTCCAAAATTTTGGAATGAATAGATTTGTTCCAAATACTGGAACCTGTAATTTTGGTAATTAATAGTTTCACAAGCACATAAGCCATTTAAAATCTATTTTTGATTGATATGCATTTCTTCCAAAACTTTAACACTTTATACCTTTAATTAAAAGCTGTTTACATATACATGTATATCTATTAGATAAAACATTAACATGTAAAATGCCAGTCAATAACCTCACAATAACATGAAATGCTTAAAAATAATGCATCATCTCTATTTTTTTTTATGAAATGAACAGCAATTTTATTGACTGTTTTAAATAATTCTTTCAGACTTTCTGCCATGTCTAATGAATTTTAACTTTAATTATGTATTTATCAAATGATTCCACAAAAATGAAAATTTCAATCTCTTAATATAAAAAATGTTTTTTTTTTAAATTAAATGAATGCATTTAATCAAATAATCTTTAATTGTATTAATTTATACTAAAAACATGTACAATGTATTGTATAAGAGAATGATTTAATGCAGTAACTGACAACAACCTTTCTGATTTATGTATTCCTTGCACACTTAAAATTTGAAAAATTACTGTTAACAAAACAAATAACTTTTTATACATTAAAAAATGTAAAAAAAAAAAAAAAAAAAAAAAAAATTGATTTTAAATAGAATAAGACTCTTAAATACTGTAAACCAAGTTTTATTTGTGTGCCACAAAAATTTACAAGTTTCGTGAATTACTTTAACTCCTTACTGTCATCTCCGCGAACCATTTATTTTGCTTGGTATTTGTAAAGAATGTTTCTTCAGTCGAAAAATAATTGATTTCAAACTGACAAATTGTGAATAAAAGATGACACAAACAATAGCTGGTTTACAGTACATTATTACACATGTAAGTGCAATCTATTACAAAAAAAGACAACCATATTATAACATAATATGTAATAGTCAACAACTTTTCACTTTTAATTTGATAGATCAAGCGCTAACTACGGTAGACAATCTGATATGCATTAAACAGATTCAGAATGAGTGAAATCCCCCCAAGGATTTTCAGATCCAGTGGAATCCAATGAGCCTGCTGAATTCCGTCTGCCTCTATCCACACTTCCCTGGTTTTGACCGTTTTCTGGAATAAATAAAGCACAAGTGGAATTGGAGGGAGGGTTTTCTAGGGGAGTAAGAGCACTGCTTATGTCCCTTGGTTTATTTTTATCCTCCTCTTGAGGAGGTTCGACACTATCACAGGATGCTATGGTGGTGTTGTCTAGACTACTGATGTCGGGACCAGTAGTGGGACTGTTTATTGGAATACTTGATGAACTTTGACCTTCTTCTACCTCCTTTCCAGGAGAGCTCCTTCTATGGAATTGGGCTGATATCCCACTGTCCTCTGAAAAATGAACTCTGACTGAGTCAGCAGTGGGTGATCCCAGTTCACTTTCTGAATCTGAGGAACTGTCACTAGGAATGAGAGCAGTTCTGGAGGAATGCCTTCCAATGTTAGAATGTGTACTATTCACTGTTTCCTCAGCTATAGTACTCACAGTGTCAGATGTATTAGCACCTATGTTCTCTTCATTTACATTTTGTGTAAGATCGTTACTTGTTTCTGTGTTGTGATTAGGAAGATTTTGATTGCGTCCATTTCTCCTCCTCTGTCGCCTTGACCTTCGATCAGATGACCTTGACCCTTGACCCTCTGACTGATTAATCCTTTCCATGTATTCTCTTCTAGCCTCCTCATAAGGTCGTGAGGTCAACATGGCCTCATGGTATGGTGGAGGAGCCCTTCTCCTCATGAATTCTGCGTAAACTCGAGACAGCGGAGTTTCATGTCTAGGACCATGAAGTTGTTGCTGTCTTAAATTATACAACTTACAGGTGCAACCTAGTGCAACCACCAAGAGCAACCCACAGATCAGAGATCCAGAGACAGCTGCAATGATGATTAAATTGGTTGTCTCTGAGAAAAAAAAACAATACATGTGTATTTATTTGATGTTTAAATTGAGCTGAAACCATGTTAAAAGATAATGAAAGGAAGAAGGAAAGGACAAAGTATCTAGAATGATAATTTTTTTTTTTGTAATTAAGGATAATTTATACTTACTGCTGCAGTTCATTTCATCACTTTGATCTCCACAGTCATCCGTTTTATCACAGACCCAGGCCTCATAAATACAGTTCTTGTTTTGACATAGGAAGGTTCCATTATGTGTACCACACTGTTGTGGAGCTGTAAGTATGAATAATTTCATCTTTTAAAACCTTTGTGCTTATCTTGACAGGAATCAAAATAAACTGCTTCGGATTTTACTAAAAATCAATTTATAACTTGTTAATTTATATGGTCTACATAAAATTGATATCAGAATTCAATAGTATACAACTATTTCAAGCAAAAATAACTTCTTGATATAGAAAAATACTAGAATAATGGTGTGCCTCTATGTAGGACCACATCAGACAAAAGGACATATACACTGGAAGAATTCCTCCCTCATCTGTTTGTAGATGTATGTAGTTTTGTGCATAATTTGCACAGGCTCTAACATTTAGCATTGTAAATCATCCACTTACAGCAATTCTTTTCGTCCATTTTGTTGGTACAGAACCCCACTCCATTACAGCGATGACTTTTTGGATAACACTGAGAACTGCCAGAACCACAGCTATACAGCACGTTACAGTTTCCTGTGGTGGGAAAGTCTCAAAATTTAAAATATTATTTTTGTGAAGAGCATTTCTGCAAACGTACATTAACATTACATTGAACGTAAAGTAGTTGTTCCAAAAAATCTACTCTCTAATATTCATGTTTACAATTCAGTGAAAATAACTTGGACAAATATATAGCATGATCTAAGTGATTCAACACACAATGCCCTATCCATACTTAAATTCATGGAAAGGGGTAGTGAAAAGTCCTGAGAGGGGTAAATGACATAAAAATTTTACAATCGATCCAACAAACAGCAGATAAGTAAATGTCCAATACTTTTCAATCAAAGGAGATCACCATAGCATTCAGCTCAGGTGGGCCAAAAACAAAACACTAGATGACATACAGTCAAATGGACACATACATGTAGTGACTAATTCCTATATAATAATTTATTGAAACGATTGAACAAAAAATTGATGCATAGGTAAAAATTATGCCTCACCACAGTGAAGTTCATCACCACCCATTTCCTTGCAGTCCCAAATGCCATTGCACTTCTCATCTTTATCAAAGCAGTCATCTTCCCCATGGCCACATGGACTTTGATTTTTAAGGCAAAAACCTATTAATAAAAAAAATGAGATGTACAAAGGGATTACCGGTAAAACTGTGTACTAAAAACATGTTACTACAACACAGATGTACCTATCAAAGTATTGAATTTCCAAAATACTGTATACAGGCTTATTTCGCCCTGTGTTATTTTCGCCCTTTTACACTTGCAAACAATTTTGTCCTGTTTTAAATTCACCCAGTCATAGTTTTGTTTAAGAAATTATACTGTATTCTTTGAATTCACTCAGTTTTAAATTTGCCCAACTGAGGGTAGGGCAAAATGGATGATAGTAAAATAGGGACAAAAATGTCCCTGTATACACTATGTACTATGGAAGTAGGTCTCTCCATCTTTTCTCACCTTTTATCTGATAAGAAAAATTAAAGCCTTTCTCAGAAAAGCTGTTATCTGAATGGAATACAATGGTCATCCAGTTAGAGGTAGATTCTAATTTGGGAGGTGGGACTAGACCTCCATAAAATGTGCCCAGAACTCGGTCATTCTCCTCATCCTTCCCATCATACACCATGACGTAATCCGTATTCTCATTAGCCTGGACCGCAAACTCAATGAGTCGCAGCTGAATCCGATCAGTGGGGTTCTGCATGTGAATCGTCCATTTACAGTCCATGTGAGGGGGGTAGTCTCTAGGGTAGAGGGGGGAGGTGATGTATCCAACCTCACTGTGAATGTGTTTATTACAGTTTATACCTGTAAATTAGGAAAATCATTACTTAGATGATTTCAATAATTAGAGTAAACATTAGAAAAATAATTGATTTTGAATGAGCTCTGCCTATAGCACTAAACATGAACTAGTAAACAGTGATAAGAATTTTAAATTGACAAAAGAAGCATAGCACCTATATTTCTTTTCATGCTTATAAAAAGCGACAATTAAACTGCTGCAATTCATTTAGATTTTATGCTGGAAATATACTATTTGTTATCATGGTACATGAAGAATTCTTGACTGAACAGTAATTATACTGTTAGTATAAACAATACTTTAGGAAAGCTTACTGCAGTTCTTTTCATCTATCCCTCCATAACAGTCAGAAATGCCATCACACTTCTTAGCTCTTGGTAGACAAATGAAAGCTTCACTTAGATTGGAATAACATGGAAAAAATTCTTCTCTACAAACAATGGATGGTGTTGCTGTAGGCATTGCAGTGGCTGAAAATTAAACAAGCTAAAGAGAACATAAGGAAACTGAATTTGTAGAATTATTAAATGTATACATGTATACTGAAGGAAATAAAATACATGTATGTCAATATGCATATAAAGATTTGATTGCTTATTCTTTATTATGTGTACAAGATTTTTTTATATGAAATATTTATCACACTGTAATGATGATTTTATAACCTCATAAATTTTTCATTTCACATGCTGAATACTATCATTTAGTAAAAAAAAAAGTATTTAATAAAAAAAAAAATAAAGGTTCGACCGAGATTCGATCCCGCGACCTCTCACATTTGAAGCGAGAGACATAACCAATAGACCACGGAGTCTCTTTACACGGAGTGAAGTATATGCAGAACTGAAGTCACATACATGTATATATTCATGTTTTCATGTTCGGTATTCTCAAAATTTTACACAATCCATGGTGTTTGATTTATTTAGCCTTTATTAAACAGTTATAATAGATGTAATAAGAACATAAAGTCCGCCGAGAACCTGTTTTATACGCAATAACTCTCCTCATGCCCCTGCGCTAAAAATAGTGACATGTAATACTATAAATACTAGTAAAACAAACGGGGCGGGGCACTTTGAGAGGGGCGAGAGACGTCCTAGGGAGTTTTGGTATAAAATTACATTGTATAAGCTCAAAATCTTCTTGAAATATCGCCCGGAAATGATAGTGTTACACACAGACAGAATGTATAAATTTACGACCTTGAACTTTGACCTTTTGACCTCAAAATCAATAGGGGTCTTCTTTAGGCCACAGGGAGTTGTTATGTAAAATTTCATTGCGATAGCTCAAATGGTTCTAGAGATATCGTGTGGAAACGAAAGTGTTTTAACAGACAGAATTTGCTTATTTATGACCTTGACCTTTGACCTTTTGACCTCAAAATCAATAGGGGTCTTCTTTAGTCCATAGGGAGTTGCTATGCTAAATTTCATTGCAAAAGCTCAAAGGGTTCTCGAGATATCGTGTGGAAACGAAAGCGTTACAGACAGACAGAAAGACGGACGGACGGACGGACGGACAAACCCAAATTAATATCCCCCACTTTTCAAGCGGGGGACAAAAAGAAACATAAGGAAACTTTGTATTCATATGCATACATCCCATTTCTCATCTAGGAAATACCTCTAACTTCCCAGCTTACCTGAGTGACATATTGCATCATTTTCATCACTTCCGTCACCACATTCATCCAGTCCATTACACAACCACTTATTCAGTGGTATACACTTTCCATTCTTACAATGGAACTGATCATCCTTACAGAATTTTGCTTGAGCAGGACCTATTGAACAAAAGAGTTTTAGCATAAGCATAAAACTTTCAATTAGCATGATACTTTAAACAGTATCATCAAATTAAAGCACCTTATTATTTACATGTATTTACATTGCAACATATCAATCAATATAATATATTAAGCCTTCAACTATTTTTTTAAAACTCGGCAGTTTACCTTGAAACTGTTGGTCTTTCATGACATGACTGAGAAATTACACCAATCACATTACAATGAATTTATGCTGAACCTGCATGTATTTATGCTGTGACAGACTTACCTTGCTAAAATAGTTTTAAGGAAAACCAATTGCAAATTTTGAAATGTTTAAAAAAGTTTTACATGTACAAGTACGTACCCCTTATATAGTTAATTTGGAATCCTTTTCCAGACACAATACCATCACTGTTAAACTTTAGCCACACATGAGAAATGTTTGAAATGTACACTAATTGTTTGTTTCTTCCACAGTACTGTTTAAGTGGCTCCGGTCCGATGGTCAACGAGTCCCTATTACATCTCGAATCATCTCCCACCTCTATGTCTAAGTAGATGCTGTCACAAGTAAAAAATCAAAAACTAATCAACAATGGCTCAAACCTTCATATTCCTCTCTTGTCATAAATAAAAATCATACTAATTACTTTTGAAATTAATACATATTAAAATAAGCACTCTCAGAATCTTTATTATTTTTAACACAATCGTTATCTTTGCTAACAAAGATGAGGGTCCTCTCCTCTTTTCGGAGCAAAAATAAACAAATCATCACCCATGGCTGGTGAAGTTATTTCATAGTGTAAACACCATTTTAAATACTTGATATTTCAGTCAGCAAATTTGACTCCATCTTATAATAAACTTACCTTAAGGTAATGATCTCCCCTTTTCTAGCAGTGATGTACCATTGTGCACACCAGTTAGCTGGATAGCCAACAGGGAAGTTCTTGGATGTAATACTCTCTGTTTCTTCTTTGTATTCATCATGAAAACATTCTGTTAAATTATACACAATGATCACAAATTAAATATTTTTAATAAAACAAAATGAAACATGTCAATGTGTGTCTCAACACTTTGCTCTAGTCTTCTTTTTTGAAGATTATAACCATACTTGTTTTACTACTTCTATATCATGAATACATGTAATACATTATCACTTGGTAATTTTTTTTTCCTGTCTGAAAAAGTAAACATCGTACATGTAAACAGGACACATTGTATTAAGAAAACTCAAACTGTTGATCTACATAAACGGTGCACTATTGAATTTAATCCTGCTCTGTAGTGTATCATGAATATTCTTTCTTATTTAATAAAAACACTACTTAAAAAAACATAGCAAAAATGTGATATATATATTCAGGTATTTTGATAAATGAATGCACACCTGTATTTTATACAATGGGTATCATAAATGGGCTATACCTTTTAAAAACATTATAAGGTTTAATAAATTATGCATGAGTGTCTATAAGGACAGACTTGTAATGCTTTACTGTATGTGTATACATAAGTCAATAAAAGAAATGAGTACATTTAGAATAGAAAGGAATCTTCTTCCTTATTGCACACAATAAAAAAGGAAATGTGATTACTCAGGTTTGCTTCTTCCTTTTTAAAATCATATGCGTTTTGAGATTAAAATTGTATACATTGTCCATGTACCTCCTTGAAATGAAAAGCCACAAGGTCAACCCATGAAAGCATTCAAAAATCAAGAATACCTAGCACTTAATTTTACAAAAATGATAAAAGTACAGACATATACTTAATAGGAACCAAATTGAATATGACACACTATGCATATCAAAAAAAGAAACTCAAACTCATCTTAATAATTTATAAGTTGCAAGATCCAACAGAAAATTTTTGCAGTGTTGTAAAGTACCATTTTCCAGTTTCCAGTTTTCTGTACCGCTAGTTAGTATTAGATACATGTATTTATAAGTAACATGAAAAATTATACTCTTTCTGCATGTTCTGAATGATTATTTATCTGTTGATTAAAAATAAAATCATAATTATCTTGTTTTATTAAGGAATAATTGTGTAATTTCAGGGGAAGGCACCAAATCATGAAATTAAATTACTCGTTTTTATTTTTATGGTTCTGAAATCCATGTAAAATCTCTAGAACAACACTGAACAACCATCTAATAAGAAATTTTTTCCAGGGGGGGTCCACCTAAGTCCAAAAATAATTCCAATAGAAATTTCTTGACAAGCAAAAAAAAAAAAAAAAATATATATACGTAAAATCGCGCAAACGTCAAAAACCTAATTCATGGGGGGGGGGGGGGGGGGAAAGTGTACAACACACAAAATCCTGAATTGCTTCAAATCTTTCACTTATCTTAAAACTTCACACATGTTAAAGAATGTTGGGCATGTATTTGATTTGGATCCAGGGGGGGCCATGGTAACTGTTTTCTTGTTATAGTATATACATTTTTTAACCTTATCTATTCTTGAGTCATATACCTAGTACAAACTAAATACATGACCATCTTTCTAATAAGAATCATTGCTCTTGCAATTGGACTGTAGTGGTGACTTCTATTGCTTCAAATCTTTCACTTATCTTACCCACTTCACACATTCAAACGCTCCAGGGGGGGTCCCTGGCCCTTCTCTCTCCATGGTAACTGTTTCTTGTTATTTATATACATTTTTTAACCTGGTAACTCTCCTGCGATAGAGGCGCAAAAAGTATCCATTTCAGCCGCGCATGACCATCTTTCTAATAAGAATCATTGCTCTTGCAATTGGCTTTTAAAATTTATTTAATGTTATGAAAGTAAAAATGTTAACCAGGAATCATTTTAATTTATCAATACTGTGTATATTTATAAATCTACTTTCAATTATAGGGTACCTTGAAAACGAAATAAACGTTGGCTTTATAAAAAGTAAAAGATTTTCTTGATTGTACAAACAACACACAAAATTTTGAAGTTATAATGACAAAAAATCAATGTGTCATTTACATTGCCGAAAAGATAATGATCAGATTTATGTTTATAGAATTTATTAAAAGTATATATTCTGGATCCCTGCAGCCAATGGGAAAAATCTTCACATCCACTGAAAATTTCTATTTTGAGTCATATACCTAATTTTTTCTTTAAAAAATGACACAAGCTTTAATTCAGTTGTTCCTGTGACCAGGGCAATGCAGTTTACAATTATATAATGATAGAAAAACTAGTATATCGATGATGCGATATGTACAATAATAAAACTCCTGTTTGTTTACGTGGCAACCCTCCCCTCCTCGACTTTTTTAAGAGCGCGCCTGAAGTTTTCAAAACTTCGTATTCAGAGCATAAATGAAGTCCCATAATCATTAACATATATAAATTATATTATATAAAAGAATTACAATCCATTTCCATTACCCTTTTAGGATAATCCTGAAGCAGGCACCTTTTTGTTTTATTTTTGTTTTATCTTGCAGAACTAATGACTCAAATTAGTTGTAAAGTTAGCTGGTCTACCCTTTTATTTAAACTTTTGCAATAAAATTTTGTCTTTGTTTTTGTTACTGCTGAAAAAACGGAAGCAACATTGCAGCTGAAATATAACCTGCAAATACAAGTTTTCAATTTTTTCTGTATAGATAATTATGACTGCATCTGTTCATCCACACACTGAAAAACTATGAAAGATAAATAATTCAAGGAAAGTGTGTGAAAGTATTATATGTAAAAAAAAAAAAAAACCAAAAACATGCACCCACCAGAGAACACCCGGGTCCCAACGTGGGCGCCAAATGTAACACAATTTATGACCTCTGCTGGTATCGAACTGGGGACCTCTGGCTTGTAGGATGCCATATACAGTGATATCCCGATAGCCAATGAGCAAATGTTGAAGTACCAAAACAATTTGGAACATAAAAGAGAAAACCGGGTTAATGCTTACTAATATTGGTGGCATTCAGTCGTGATTTATAGCAATTTAGAAGTTGATATACATGTATTTTAGAAGTCAAATCACTACAAGTGCAATCAGCTGATCATCACTGAATCAGCTGTGAATGTCAATATCAAACATAATGACCTCAAACAACAAATAAAAATACTAAATTACTAGAGGAGTTATTTTTAAACAAAAAGAATTAACTAAATAAATGAAAATTACCAAATAGCTTTGACATTTCCATCCTATACACCTCACATCCGTGTTTCTTACGTGCACATTATCTTTTTATAATTATTTATAACCTTGTCCTTTAATGTCATTTTCTAGACAACTTTGACGCGAATCTTTCTTGAGACACTAGTGGTTATTTCCATTTTAACAAACAAACTTATGTCTACGTTGTTTTTGTTTTGTTTTCATCCTAAATTGACATTATATTGTCAACAAACAGTTCTCTCTCCTTTTCTCTCTTGTCAGCCATACTACTTCCGTGTATAAGTACTACTTCCGGTTTTGCAGCAACAATAAAAGGGGGTCATATCAAAATTGGCTCTAGACAGACAGAAATTATAGATTGTGCATTGCATATTCAAAGGCGCAGTTATTTTATGATTTTTTTTATTGTCATTAAAAACACATGATACTGGGTAGATATCAATATTTTATAGTTAATTCATTTAATATACATGTACCATTAAACATTTCAGTGGCGGATCCAGGAATTTCGCAAAGGGGGAGGGGTTCGCAGTAGAAGGCAGAGGGTCAGGTGGCTGTACTGAAGCCCCCAGTGGATCGAAGCCCCCGCTAGCTGACAGGTTCTTACAAATAAGAGATGTTTTTCCTTGATTTTAGGATAATGGACATATAAATTTTACATACAAAAAAATTCAAACGGGGGGCACCGGCCCTGAATCCGCCTTTGCATTTCATAATATATGATTTATAGTATTCAATTTTCATTGTATTAGAGTCTTTTAATGTACTGTAACATTTCATTTATCACAGGAAGAATTATCTCCATTTTCAGAGGGTCAGCGAATCTTAAGATTGAATGGATTTATTATATTTCAATTTACTACAGCACTATTAATTTATTATATGCAAATTAATGGACAGGTATACAATCTTTGGGCGGAAAAATACATGTGTATTGTACTATTGTTAGATATAGGAAAATAATCAGGATTAAAAGGTGAAATGACCCAGTTAAGAAATAATGACACGGAAGGGAAATGACCTGAATAGAACATATCTACATGTATAGGTTCTTTAAGCGTGTACATGTACATAAATGGTATTTACCATGCTGAATTCAATTAAACATATGATTGTATTAGACTTGTCTCACCTGCCTTTTCGTATATGCCGGTATATATTACTTAGTATATATACTAGTATCTGAGAATGCCATGTGAAAGTAGTTTATCATGTTCGATTCGTTTGCATGATTTGTTTAATTGTTTTATAGGTCGATGGTATCGTTATTTGGGTCACAATAGAACGACCTTTTTGCCTAGTTTGCTTTATCGGTCGTCGACCTATTAATCTTTTTTTTTTTCGCCTTCCTCCTGTGAAATAATTAGATAAGAATTAAGTCTCTGACGTGACTGTATAGTTCTACTGGTGCTTATTACACAAGAAACTTTTGGTATAGTCTGTACTTGTGTTAAACGTTAAATCAGATCAAAATTATTTAAGGTTTCGTCAAATGTCAACATGTCCAAAAATTTATTTTTACAATAGCGCCAAAACTATGTGAGGTATAAAGTTAAAACTTCCACAGTTTATAAATTTATTATTTAATAACAGATAGAAAGTATCACTTCATAACAAACATGTTTATACCTTTGACGAAACCTTAAAAGCTAGTTTTAAGTATTGCGCTTTAAAGGAATTCGAAAAAAGCCTACTTTTTAAAGCATGGCAACACTCTAGTTTTTTTGTCGAAAATAAAAAAAATGTAATTTATCTTAATATATTGTACGTAGTCACTGTACCCTTGTACAGTGACTACGTACAATATATTACATTTTTTTTATTTTCGACAAAAAAACTTATTGAAATAGAATAGAATCA